AGGGGAATGCCTCACCCAGCACAAAGCTCACTGCATGTCATTGGTTTACATCAGATTACCCCCAATCCAGCACGATCAGGTCTGTCAAAACAGAACACTGTTCTGGGTTTTTTTTCAGACCTGGCTGGAGATAGGGGTAACCGGGTGTAAACGGAGGCCCGTCTGTTTACACACAGCTGCCCATAGACTAGCATTGGGCATATATATACTGTATATAATTTGTTAATCTATGCAAGCATGTTGATGAACTATTTAGGTTAAGTTTTTTTCTGGTTTCTAAAGGTTCGAGGTCCTGGAGTCGGTGTAATAGGAACTGGCAAAGGAGCAGATCTTGCGCTTTCCATGGCTACGTTCCTGCCCCAAGTGGTGGCAGCAGTAAGCATCTCTGGTTGTTGTGCCAATACTGCTGCCAACTTATCCTACAAGGATTTCACCATCCCAGGCTTGACATACAACATGAGTCGGGTGCAAGTGTCTGAAACGGCAGTGTTTGATGTGTCCGAAGCTCTGGATGATCCTCTTGATCCCGCTAACAGTCAATGCCTCATCCCAATAGAGAAATCCAATGGTACGTTCATGTTCATTGTAGGTGAAAATGATTTGTACTGGAAAAGTTCTGTCTATGCTCAGGCAGCCATAGATCGCCTTCAGCAACACAACAGAAATAACTTCAAGCTGCTAACTTATCCTGGAGCTGGCCATAGGATTGACCCTCCTTGCTCTCCGTTCTGTCCAGCAGCGGTTGACCGGGTCTTGGGTGTGCCTATTCTAGGAGGGGGAGAACTGAAAGCTCACTGTCAGGCTCAGGAGGATTCCTGGCAGAAGATACAAGACTTTTTTCACCTTCACCTAAGATGAAAAAAAGGGAAAGACAATCAATAAGTAAAAATGTTGAATGCCATCGGCAGTGAGAAGAACCTTTTATAAGGTTGTGCAAAAAACTGTGGAGTTGGTTGTGATTTGACTATTGCTAAAATTTGCACTACGACTAACAATATTGCATTTTCTGTCTTCACAATCTATTACTAATCCAATTTTTGTTATAATTGTATGATGGGGATTTGTAAAATGTCACCTTACAAAATATGAAAAAGACATGTTCAATCCAATCATTATTAAAGCTGATCTCCATCGATAAAAAAACCTACCCTGCCCCCCATACCTAATCTGTATTTTATCAAAACAAATCTACTGAATAGCCGGTCATGTGACAGGCTGTGTTATAGGTAATATTTTATTCTGCTGTAGTGTGTGGGGGTCCAGTCTGCAGTGCCCATGTGTCCTTGTGACGTGGGCACTGCCCATTGGCTATCAGAAGAGTCCAATTCCGTGTCTTCACATGGTCCTGAAGACCTCAGGAGTGAAGTCATGTGAAAGGTGAGCACATGACTGGTTGGCTGGACCAGCCAAGACAGCAGAGAGCTGTTTCTGGCCAATCGCCATTATATTTTTGTAGTTGTTAAAGACATTGGGGGGAATTTATCAAAACTGGAGCAGATTTGCACTGCAACCAATCAGCATCTCTGTCTCATTTTCAAATCTTTCCTGAACAAACTGAAGAGAGATGCTGATTGGTTGCCATGGGCAACTGCTCCAGTTTTTGTCTGCTCCAGTTTTGATAAATTCCCCCCATAATGTCTGTTTACAAAAGTGATACTATATAGGTAAAATTGAATTCATGAATACTTTGAAGGACTGATCGTGAGAGAGGGTCAGACTTAGTGACTCTGGAAGTTGTAATGACAGAGTTAGGAGATTCGCTGCTTGTTTCCCCTGTGTGGTACAACAAACCTGTCTTCTGAAAAATCTATTACCCACGGAAAGTGACTGCTTAAGCACACAATCCTTTTTCATTTCCAGTTGCTGTGGCCGGCAAATATCAATTGTTGTTGGGTTTTTTTAAGCAATGGCAAAGCAACTTGTCTGAGTCCAACGAGTTCCAACAAGCGAGTTAGAACTTCTATACTTACCAACATACAGCTGACCCTAGTTAGCACCTTCATCAAACTGAAGGATCTAACATGTACAGGGTGTGCTCTTGGCTTAAAAGAGAACTATGGGGTAAGTGTTTTCCCCCATAGTTCTCTTAAGGGTCACGGGAGGACATATACTAGCGTCCTTCCGTGACCCAAAGCTCCGTACAGCTCGCGGTATACTGAGAACACCGCAGCCGACACGGATCCCAACAATGCTGTCGAGATCCACCCAGCTGCGTGAGTAAAGCAGAGCCACCTGTGCCCGCCCCCTCCCCTGTCCGTTCCTTAGGTCAGCGCTGGAGGATCGGAGCGGGGAGGAGGAATCCCTGCGGGGAGCCGTGAGGGTTCTCTGCAGGGAGATGATCGAGAAGTGAGCGAGCGCCGGTATGTGTTCGCTCACTTCCCAATCTATTGAGCCGATATGTGACAGTTTCATTGCCACACGTCGGCTCAAACAATGAGGGTGAGTGATTTTCACTCACCTCATAGTTCTCCTTTTAAGCATTTAATTCAAGCCTGTCTTTTAGTAAGATCAAGCTTCCACTCATTCACAAATTTTAAAAATATATATTTTTATACCCTTTTTTACTTATTTGGGTCAGCTATTTTATGTCCATTGGCTATGACTGTGTAATCAACTTAAATACACCTTTACTTTATTTACTAAGCCCAATGATTATTCACTTTGAAAAGTCAACAGCCTCCATTCCAGTACATCCTACTAAACCCCAGTATATCCAGGGATACTATGTTGCTGAGTGTAGAAAAGAGACTGCTATATTTCAAGTGTCAATGTGCTGCTGGGCAAGGAGTTAAATCAAAGGAAGATTGATAATGAGGTGCTGGATTAGGGATGGGGGTCCACAGAGTCCTTCTAGGTACAGCAGGCTGCTGGGGCAGGGGTGCGAGGCACAGTGACATTTCCAGGCACACAGAGGGGCTGAATAGGAAAGTGCAGAAGAGAGAAAAAAAATAGTATGCAATAACCAAGTACATATACAATATATGAGCAGACAGTAGGAGGCTGCAGGAGATCAGCAGGACTGAGATGCAACAAAGGATACCAATGGTAAAAACAATATTTATCTTTCGTTCATTGAATGACACAGTGAAGATCTTACTAAGTGGGTTATATAGAACCACCTTCAGGAGTAGGACACTAGGCACAAAACAATAGCTCAGCCTAGGGGCGGCCCCTGATGGTAGCCAAACCCTCTACCAGCTACAGATAGCTATTATTTTTTTTGCCTAGTGTCAAGGAGTTAGGACTTAAGCTTCCTGCTGGGGATCTTAGTTCACCTTCTTCTTGCAGGGTATTTTTGTTTTCATTTATTTTTGTTCTGATTGTCCTCACCTTCAATCAACAGCTGAGCTGGGTGACACTCTGGATAATATAGATCCTTGTAGACCCCCCAGCTCAGCCATCGAGCACATGCAGATCCTTAGCTACGTGCACCTACCAGCTTCGGGTGTTTTCTGTTTTCTTCCAACAATGCTAGATTTTTGTATATTTCAATATGTAATGAGTTTGCTTTAAAATGTGTTAGGGCTTGTATACATGGGTATGTTTTAGGGATGCACCGATATCGAAACAAGTTCGACTGCCTGAGTTCCAGTGCTTGGTAGGGACCTCAGGCAGCCTGCTGGCAGTAGGGGACCTAGCAGTAGCTGTCCTTAGCAGTGCCGATCCGGTCATACAACTCCTTCTCCTCTTTCCGGAGACCAGCACAGCAAAGGACAGCACCCACACTGTGGCTTGAGGTGGCTTCTCCTGGGAGATGGTACTGCTGGGATGGTGAGTATGGGGTGATCCTCCTTCCCTGGGCAGTGACTGTGAGAGGTCGGTGGGTACCCTTGTCTCTTTCTCCCCTTTACTGTGTGCGGCTGATGGTGGTGTTTCTGCTTCAGCATCTCCTTCTCACAATATGCACAATATCTTGCATTTGCCATTTTCTTCTAAATGTGGATATGTCAGGGGGACAGTGGTTCTTCCTGGACTCCCTTGGCTTTGTCTTAGCCTGTTGCAGTTAGGGGTGTTTTTGGTTCTTGACTGGCTGTTCATTCCGTTTGGCACTTCCATTCTGGGAGTATGGACTGACCCTGCGTTAGGGTATGGGGGTTTACCATTGATGTGACCCCTTTATGCTGGACCCCTTCATGCATAGCGTTGGAACAATTCAGTGCTTAAATTGCTGGGTCTGCCCAGCTGCAGCTCCGGCTGGAGTTGCTTGCCTCTGGTTTTCTGCATGCGAGCTCTGCGGCTCCTTTGGTTCACTGGAAACTCTACTGGCGGTCTTCCATTTGGGTTGCTGTCTGTCTGTGCTAGCAGTGTCGCATCTCGATCACTGTGTAGGAACTTGTGGTCTTGACTGACATGCTAGGTTGCGTGTTTCCTGTTCTGTGCAGACCAGACTATTCGCCCTGGCCTTTTCTATCTTTTTTTTTCTTCCGAGGGTCTTCGGCAGGTGGAGTACATGGTCTTGAGCATTGGGTTTTGGGTAAGGGTCTTACAGTACTTTTCCAAGACGTAATGCCCAGGTTTCCTCTTCCTGGTGTGTTTGTTCCTCACTTTGGAATTCTTGACTGGTAGCAGTGGAAGCTTCCATGGTTTGATGGTATGAGTTGGCCTGCCCTATAACTTCCTCTTCTGCTACGGTCTAATCAGTCGCTCCGCCTGTTCCTAGAGTGTTCTGTTTTGTTGCCTTGGAGTTATGCATCCTTCACTTGGAGCTGTTTTTTCTTTATTATCTTCTCTTAGGGTGCTTGGTGTTTTTGGGGCCTTTTCTTGCCACTTTCCTAGGCCTCTGTGGTGGATCTATTGGGATTTCTCTAGGCAGTTGTGGTTTTTCTACTGCCTGAGGGGAGTAATTTGTTGCTTCGTTCTCACCCCTCTGTTGACACTGCTATGGGACGTCCCACTTAGTCAATATTTAGGATCTTCTCTGTGTCCTTCAATGAACTAAAGAGAAAATAGGATTTTTGTACTCGCCATAAAATCCTTTTCTCTGCAGACACAGTAACCACCCCTCTGGTTGTTGTGGTGGCAAGTTGTTATTGGTACTGCTTTGTGACTAACTGAGCTATCTATAATGTTAGGGGGTTTGGCCACTGTCAGGGTGGCCCCTAGGCTGGGCCTTTGTTTTGTGCCTAGTGTCCTACTCCTGAAAAGTTAGCGCTATAATACCCACTTACTCAAGATGTAAGATCTTCACTGTGTCCTTTAATGAACGCAGAGAAAAGGATTTTACGGTGAGTACCAAAATCCTATTTTTTATTTTAAAAAAGTGGCAAACATGGTGTTTTAGCAAACTTAAAGTAATTCAATTAGGGACTGAATCACTTGAGGATTTTGAATGTAAACAATGCATCCTAAGTTTTTAGGAAGCATCTCTTGCATTGCAATAGCCAAATGCCCCCCCCGCTGCTACTGCTGGCATTATACAGCAGGGACAGCTGTCAAAATGCAGTTGTTCCTGTGTAAATGCACAATGTTTTTTTTACTGCAATGTACAGTTTTGTGATACTGTGCATTGCACATGGCTGCCAGGAGGTGCGTTGGGGTACCATTCAAATGAATGGAAGTGCAATGCATTCAGCACACAGTACAGCATGCTAGGTGTGCAGTGCAAAAGTGTGTGCTCAATGTACGGAAGCACGTATTCAGCACAACACTATGGTGTAACTGGGCCCTTTAATGTGCTTTACCGATATGGTGCCTAATAATAACTCTTTGCTGCCACCAGATGGCGCTACACAGCAAGCTATAATTATTGTAGCTATTAGCTTTTCACTGTGGCTGCAGAATTTTATACAAAGGAGATACATTTTTTTAGGCTAATACATGAAAAATGTAATAAGCCATGTGTTTAACTTCAAGGTAGTCACATAAATGCTGTGTAATAGCACATAGTAACCATTTCTGTACCATCAGAACAAGGCAATATGCTTTTATTGGTTTCTATGAGCTACTCAACATTATAGCTTATTTCTAATGTATTATTCCATATTTACCAGTAGTGACCAGCAGCTGGCAAGCTTTTTCAGAAA